ACGCCATCTTTGAGTAAGCAGCACAGCTCCCTACAGACTATGCCACTACGGCTCCCCATATTTCTGATTAAATGATGCCAACCTGAATGTCTTGTTCTTGGTCTGAGAATGTGAAGCTTTAAAGCTCATTTATTGTTAGAAGCTATCTAAGTCCTCAGGTATTAAAACCTCAATCTTCCTTTCTCATTGATCATTCCTGGCTTTTTAAGAGTTGATATGCTTGGAAGGGTGGAAGGACAGAGAAACAGAGGGAGACTATAGAGGGAGCTATGTGGAGAGGGGTTGCTTGTTTTGTTGTTTTACATGAGATAAGGAAGATATTTTGATGTCAGACTATTTCTGTCAAGATTGATATTTATTTCTTAAAAAATTTATTATAACCATATTGTTTCTTAAGCTCAAAGTGAGTAATGACATAGTTGTTCATTGAAAATAGGCTAGAAAAGGTATTGCATCCTCAAGACTACATGACTGAACTATGAGCCAAGAAAATCCCAGAGTACAAGAGAAAACAATGGAAGCCTGACTCTGGTGCAAAGAACCATGAGGTAGTTTCTAAGTACAAGTTCTGTACTATCAAAGGAAGAAATAAACACTAACCCAATAGCTGAGTGTTTATTACCAGGCGTCATCACCTTTCTTGGTCTCTTATCTTGGGCTGTTGTTTGTTGTTATGTGCCATCACAGCTCATAGCGACCCTATGTACAACAGCCCTAAACCCTGCTCTATCTTGTGCCAACCTCATTGTCTCCAACACACCTCTTCCCATTACCCCACTCACTGAATCGATCCATCTCATTAATGTTCTTCCTCTCTAGCGCTCTCCCTCCATCCTCCCATGCATGACGGCCCTCTCCAAGGACCGATCCCTCCTTGCAACATGCTCAAAGTATGTCAGATGAAGCTTCAGAATCCTTACCTCCAAGGAGCAGCCTGGCTTCACCCTCTCCAGGACAAACCTGTTTGTTTTCTTAGCAGTTCATGGTATGTTGTTGTTGTTATGTGCCGTCGAGTCATTTCCGACTCATAGCGACCCTATGCACAACAGCTCTAAACCCTGCTCTATCCTGCGCCAACCGCACCGCCTCTGACACACCCATCCCGATTACCCCAGTCACCGAATCAATCCATCTCATAGAGGGTCTTCCCCTCCTGCGCTGTCCCTCCACCCTCCCAAGCATGATGTCCCTCTCCAAGGACCCATCCCTCCTGGCAACATGTCCAAAGTATGTCAGACGAAGCCCCAGAATCTTTGCCTCCAAGGAGTAGCTTGGTTTAATCCAAAGATGAATCTGTTTGTTTTCCTGGCAGTCCATGGTACATTCAGTACCCTTCTCCAGCACCACAGCTCAAAAGCATCCACTCTCCTTCTGTCCTCCCTAGTCATTGTCCAACTCTCTGATGCATAACAAGCGATTGCAAATACCATGACCTGTATCAGGCACACCTTAGTCTCCAGAGAGACACTGTTGCTCCTGAGTACCTTTGAGAGGTCCCTAACAGCAGACTTTCCCATTGCGATACGCTTTTGGATTTCCTGACTGCTGGTACCAAGAGTGTTGACTGTGGAGCCGAGCAAAGTGAAGCTGTGAACACTCTCAATCTCTTCGTCATCCATCCTGACGCTGCCAATTGGTCCAGTGGCGAGAATCTTTGTCTTCTTGACGTTGAGCCTTAGTCCATACTGAAGGCTGCAGTCCTTGACCCTTCACAGCAAGTGCATGAGGTCCTCCTCAGTTTCAGCAAGCAGGGTTGTGTCATCTGCATAACGGAGACTGTTAATAGATCTTCCACCAATCCTGATGCCACAATTCTCCTCATAGAGCCCAGCCTCTCGGATAATCTGCTCTGTATACATGTTGAAAAGGTATGGAGACAGGATGCATCCCTGGTGTACACCCTTCCCTATTTTGAACCATGTAGTGTTACCCTGCTCTGTTCTGACTACTGCCTCTTGGTCCAAGTACAGGTTTCGTATTAGCACAATTAAATGTTCTGGGATTCCCATTCTTCTCAGAGTCAGCCACAGTTTGTTATGATCCACACAGTCAAATGCCTTTGCATAATCAATGCAACACAGATAGACATTCTTCTGGTATTCCCTGCTTTTAGCCAAGATCCATCTAACATCAGCAACGATATCCCTAGTACCACGACCCCTTCTAAACCCAGCCTGGACTTCCGGCAGTTCTCTGCTGATGTGCTGTTCTAATCGTTTTTGGATGATCTTCAGTAGAATATTCAACACTTTTCTCCAGCACCATAGCTCAAAGGCATCAATTCTTTTTCTATCATCCCGTCACTGTCCAGCTCTCCAATGCATATATTGGGCTAGAATAGGTAATTTCTAAGGCTTCTTACAGTGTGAAAATCTTAAAACTTTGGTGAAGAGATAAAGCTTAGAGAGCAGTAGTTTTGTATGTTATAAAAGGGAGTCACAGAAAATTCAGAAAAATCCAAATGATGTGTTTATTCAGAAAAAAACTACAAAAGCAAACCCAGGTAATAAAGGGTGAATCCACTGTGATGGCACGCTAGCCATCAAGTAAAGCATCCTTAGGACAAGTGCCTTTCTGAGTGAAATACTTTAACATACAATTCACATTTTGAGTGAAATTATGATTTTGAGTCACCTTTTTTAAGTGAAACACTTGAACACATAATATCAGAAAGTTTTCATGGACCACACTAGTTTCTATTTAAGTCATTCTAGCAAAGTGGCAATATCTAGAGAATACCTGACTATATATAATTGTATGTACACATACACTAAGATTCTTCTATACTTAAGTAGATGTGTGTGCACATACCTAACTGAAGAGACTGGCAGTTAAAAACTGCTAGTGACTTTACAAAAGACCCAGTTTTTAGCTCTGTTAAGCTAGGAATCCCCAAGAAGGAAGCTATGGGGTAGTTCTACTGTATGTTTTGGAGAAGGTACAGCCAGAGTGCTCCTTGGAGGCAAAGATTAAATTTTTTTCCACATACTGTGGGTTTGTTGCTAAAAGAGTCTATTCATTGGAAGAAGACATCATAGTTGAAGGGTAGAGGATCAGTGAAGGACAGAAAGACCTCAACCAGATGGACTGACAGAGCAATGGGTCAATTACTGCAACAATGGGCTCAAGTATATCAGAGATTGGCCCAAAATAGGAAAGGGTTCAGATCTGTTGGTTACAGAGTTGCTATGAGTCGTGCTTTACTCAACAGCATCTAACAACAAATATCATTAAGACTTAAAAGGAGAATAATGATAAACAATTCAGTGACATTTTCTATAAAAAGATTTTATTTAAAAATACATTCTTTTTAAAAAAGAGACAACTTTTATATACAATTATTTAGTTTATAAACAGTCAAAAATCACAACAAAATAAATCCAGATGTAGAAAACTATGACCTGTAACATATACAGTACTGGTGCTGAAGGAGACAGTTTACATCTATGATTCATTCTTTTTGCCCCATATTTTAATAGTTCACATTTGTTAAAACCAGTGATTGGGACCGAAGAGTCTTTTTATCTGAATACCTTTCTTTTTAAGAATTTGCTACCTTTCCTGGCAGGTACAGAAATAACTGGAACTAATTAAGTGTTCTTATTTCTTTCAACACCTGTGTGTCCCAACAGAAATTTCTTAGTAATTTACTTTTTTAAAATTTATCTGTATGAGGCTTGAGGGCCCAAGCATTTACCAGGCTCTAAGGGAAAGGAACATTCCTTCTCTTGACAGCAGAGGATTCAGTGTTTAATGCCCTTAGGATATTAACACCACACATGATTTCAATCTCCAAGCCTGTACTCTGAGCAGCCAGCAAACAATCTGCTTTAGCATGGTACTGAAAGATTTGAAACACATTCAAATATCTAACACAGATTTATAATAAAGCAGGAGAAATATCTTGTCAAACTAAAGTGCCACTCGTTAGTTACTATATTCAAGAGCCTATCTTGAATTAGTAATCTCAAATTTTAAAACCATTTTTACCACATTCATTGCTACTCAGTCTAGGAAAACCTAGCAGATGCCTGGATTATCAAATTTATTCAAATATCTGGAGATAAATGCCAAGTTTTTTATAATCATAAATAGTCCTGTTGTATAAATTCAAAACCAAAAGAAAAATAATGTTAAAGATAAAATATGTGACTTAAAAGAAATTACATGCTGATGTTTGGACTGCACCCTCAATAGCCCCTCTCCTATGAGGAGTATTTCAGTAGTGCATCTGTGATGGAATGACCCAGGAGCTCCTGATTACCCATGATGGAGCCTGGTCCTAACTGACAGTGAACTTCACAGAATTCAAAGCCTTGGGCATTTGCTTGAGTTCCATTTCCTGAAAGACTATATTCTCTCACTAAATATATATATATATTTATATATACATTTTTGCCTATACTGATCAGAAAAAGTCAAAGAAGAACTTTTTACTCTTTTATTTTACATTGTTTAACAGAGGAATGCAGCAAAGAAGATTGTTGATCAACAACTTGCCATCAAAAACAGTGGAACTCATAAAGCCAAACGGTTAGGTTATGATTCACTGAAGATATAACAGGAACAGAAATTCTGGTAATTTTAGCCTTTCTTCAGATTTATATTAAACTAGATCATCTCTGTTCTTTGCCATCCTTTTGCTCAAGAAGTAAATGTATGAGGCCTTTGGTGAGCTACTGTTCATAATTACATTACCTCTTCTAGAGCCTCAAATCCACAAGGGAGCCCTTTTTACCTAAAGAGCTTCTTTCAGCAGAGTGCAAACTCAACTTTCCCAATAATAATTACTAGTTGTAAATAAAGCCAAGGATCATTCCCAGTATAAGCAAGTTGCCAATAAAATAACAAGTCAAATTTACAAAGCAATTTTTATAAAAGGCATTGAGTCAGCTTTGTAAGGCCATGTAAAAAAAGTCTGTAGATCAAGTTGCTATCCAACACACTTAGTAATTAAATAAAGTTAAATATGACACTAGACACGAGATGGACTAATCTCATTAATCCCATAATTTAATGAGACCATCCCAACCACATGTTATGACTTTCGATGTCTCATGAGGATGCCACACTGCACCTATACACACTTTATCATGAGCTTTGAATCGGCTGTAGAGTTTTGTGGTCTTCCAGTCCCAAATGTTTAATTTTCCATTTCCATCTCCTGAAATCACATAGCTATGAAGGGAAGCAGAAATAAATTCAAATACTTAGACTGTACAACAGTTAGTGAAAATAATAAAACATAAAGCAGTTTATAATTTCTACCAAAAGTAATGTATCATGCTTTCCTTTTATCTATCAATGGGATATTGGGAGTTTCAATGAATCACTGTCAAAATCGGACTTCAGAGGCTCCCTAGACAATGTAGAGGAATCAAGATGACACACACTCACTAGCCACATTTAGACCCATTCTACTGTAGTTCATTCTACTAACGTCACACTTTTTGTTTCCAGTATCTTTCAAATATGTTTAAGACTGACCCAGAGGCAGCACTCAAAGGCCTAATTACCAGGCTTGGTGTAGTAGGAATTTCTGAACTTTTGCCTAATTATTTTTTACTACAAATGAGGGAATATTATAGAGCTTTACTCTTTGAAAGATTCTAGGCTTTACAAATTCATGGTGACCTAGAACCATTCAAAAGCCTGGATATGAAGTTTCAGCACAGAGAAACCACAGTTAAACTTTTAACTTGAACTTCATGATACAGAATCAATTCTTCTGGTGTTCCTTCAATTACAGCAATACTGAGATTGCTTGTGTGCCATCTTCTGGCTCCCCTTTTAGGAAAGTAAGGGAGGAATAGGTATTTACAAGGAATGTAAGGGTATGTACGGAAGAAGGAACTTAAATAAACCCAGAACAGAAGTCCCATCCTTTGTCCCTGGCCTTATAGCTGCCATTGTGGCAGCTTATACAGTTCTCATACATTTAAATACAGGAAAATGATCTGCAAAGTGACATTTGCATAATTCATACTCATTGCTGTAGAGTTGGAACCAACTCATAAACTGACCCTCTGGCAGGTCACTGGAGAAGAACGGTCACCTTTCAGTCGAGGAGCTGCTGATGGATGCAGACCATGAGAGGTGCAGAATTTGAGGTAGTAGCATGACACCCAATGGCAGTTTATACTATCATTTATATTATCTGGTTACTTTAATAGATTAGAAGATTGAAACTTACCTCATGTCGGGGGAAAAGTCCACTTGACAGGCATATCCTGCCACCATATGGCCCTTAAAAATTTTTTTCTTATTTAATCTAAATCTGTTCTGTGCTCCAAAGATTAATATTTGGTTGTCCATTGACTGGCATGCTAGCCATTTCCCTGAAAAAGCAATCCAAGAGATATATTAGGCAAAGATTGAAAATTTAAAGGCTTTCTTAAAGTATGTTCATTGTCATCAATTGTTTTGCTCCCAACAACTTTATAAGAAGTTTGCCATACCACCTCTTACTGGCAAGAGCTATGTCTATAGTTATAAATTTTGCTCATACAATCTATATCATTGAGCATTTTCCACACAAAAGCTTAAAAAAGTATTTAAAACACTTTCCTCCTCCCCCTCAGGCTGCACAGTAGAGTAGACTTGGGGGAGATATTGTATAACAATGAAAGAATTTTTCTTTTACTTTCCAAAGAGCAAATGGGAGGGAGGGGTAAGCAGGGAGAAAAGTATAACAATGAATGAATGAATGAATGAATGAATGAATGAATGGAAATCCAAAGGCTCTGTAAACTTTCATTAAAATTAATTTAAAAAATTATTTTTTTTTTAAAAAGGAATTTCAAGTTCAGCCTAAAATTTTATGCAATGATATTGATTTATAGGTGTACAGATAGGCGGCTCCTTGGTTATGAATGAGATTCATTCCTGTCTTTAAGGACTTTTAGGTCAGAAAGAGGTAAATTTAGTTCTTATTTAGCTTTATGTTAGTGTAAAAGACTGTTTTTTCAATTACTTAAAAGCTGTATATGCAAGGAAGCTCTGGTGTCCTAGTGGCAAGAAGCTGCACTGCAATCCCAGAGGCATGCAGTTCGAATCCACCAGATGCTCTGCTGGAGAAGGCAAAACAATCTCCTCCTATACCAGTTGAATCTGATCTGATGGTACACACACACAAAATAATAAAATAAAACTTAAAAAAAATTTTTTTTTTAAAAAAAGCTGTATGTGCAGCAGGAAGGTGAATGTGATGAAGAAATTGTTGTGATCAGGGGCTGGTTCAATCACTTCAAAGTGAGGGCAAGTTTATACAGCATTAAATAAAGCAGGGCTTCAAGATGGTAGTGCCCTACTCAAAGATGGTGGCTGACCTCATTGCTTGGAATGAGTGAAGCTCTCAACAGTCCTGCCAATAATCCAATCTCATGAATCGGGCTTCTTAGAATCTTTTCATAGTGAAAGGATTCACTATGCCTCTTATGAGTCTCCTATTTCACAGCTTCAGCATGTCATTTCCTCCATTCTAGTTACTGTGACAAAACACCCAAATTGTAAAAATTTCCATCTGTTGTTCTGTTTTCTTAGAACTGGTTCAAAGCTGGGCATTAAAGGACAAGGAGGAGTTGGCTGCTGGTCAGATGTTTGTGCCCTGGGGACTGCCTGCATAGACAATTAACTATGGAAAGAAAGAGGCTAACATATGTTACTTATAGAAAAAAGAATGAGTAGCTTTGGTGAGAAAATGAGACTTAGTTATATAGAACTATACAATGTAAACAAGTTTAAAAATTTACCGTCTTAAAAGTTCATGCGGTTTCCATTTTCTCAGGGTTCATCAAGCCCTGAGAGCCCTGAGCCAGTATGTACTTCAGATTAATGTTGTTATGTGCCACTGGGTAGACTACAACTCAGATATCCTATGAACAATGATCAAAGTCTTGCCCTATTCTGTTCTGTCCTTACCATCCCTGACACACTAGAGCCCGTACAGTCATTATATCCATTCATCTTGTTGAAGGTCTTTTTTTTCATTCATTCTCTGCTTTTCCTAACACGGTGTCTTCTTCCTAAGACTGGCCTCTCCTGACAACATATAACTAAGGAAAAGGATCTTGTTCAAGTTAGACCCAATCCTTGTAATCTTTCAAAATAACACTATATAAGCACAGTAGCAATGTTACAATGTATTGTTGACATTAGGTACCACTGAGTTGCATATGACTATGCCCAACAAATCCTATGCAAAGACTCTGTCCTAACCTGGGCCATCTTCATCATCTCTGACCCACTACACTGCAGTGAGGACGTTTATCTCTTTCTCTGATCCTCAACCTTTCCAAGCACAATGTTCCTTTCCAAGGAATGGCCTCTCCTAACAATATGCTCAAAGTCTGTAAGATGAAGCTTCGCCATCCTTGCCTCCAAGGTACACTGTAGCTTCACTTTCTCTAAGTCGTATCTGTTTGGTTTTATGGCAGTCCAGGGGATATTCAGTACTCATGTCCAACACTACAGCTCAAAGGATTAGATTCTTTCATCATCCTTATTCACTGTCTGGCTGTATTGCCATACTTTTACAGTTACTGATTGTTGTTGTTGTTGTTATGTGCTGTTGAGTTGTCTGTGACTCACAGTGACCCTATCTACAACTCTGCTCTATCCTGAGCCAGTCTCACTGATTCCGACACACTTACCTCCATTGCCCTAATTACTATATCAATCCATCTCACCTGGGGTCTACCTCTCCTGCGCTGTCCCGCCACCCTTCTAAACATAATGTCATTCTCCAAGGATTGGTCCCTTCTGGCCATGTGTCCAAAGTATGTGAGAAGGAGCTTCAAAATCCTAGCTTCCAAGAAGAAACTTGGTTTCACCCTCTCTAAGACCTGTTTGTTTTCTTGGCAGACCATGGTTATGTTCAAGACTCTTCTCCAACACAACAATTCAAAGGTATCAATTCTTGTGTCATCCTCATTGTCCAGCTCTCTGATGCATAGCAAGTAATTGCAAAGACCATGGCCTGGATCAGGTACACCTTAGTCTCTAGACTGACATCATTGCTTCTCAGTACTCTGGAAAAGTCCCTGACAGCAGATTTACCTAATCCAATTTGTCTTTTGATTTCCTGACTGCGGGTGCCAAGAGTGGTGACTATGGACCCAAGTAAGTTCTAACTTTTAATCTCTTCTCCATCCATCATGGTGCTGCTGAATGGCCCAGTGGTTGAGAGTCTTTTTTTTCTTGATAGAGCTTCAATCCACATTGAAGACTACAGTCCTTGACATTCTACAGCAAGCAGGTCTAGTTCTGTTCCCCTTCCTCCATTAAATCGTAAAGCATCCAAATGTCCATTAATAAATGACCAGATTGAGAAACTATGATACATTCACATGATGGAATACTATGCAGCACTCAGGGAGCAAAGATTTTGAAAAATACTATATAATATAGGAGAAGCTTGAGAGCACTATGCTGAGAAAAATAACACAAGCGCCTAAGAACAAACACTGAAGAGTAAAAATAGAAATCACTGTAAAAAGAGAAGGATAACCAGTGAAATGTGTATGGACAGACAAAGAAGGAAGAAGAGGGGGTGGGGGACTGGGATGGAGAGTGGGAAAAATCATGGGTTAAAGAGTTTGGTGGGGGGAAGGTGTGAGCAAGGAGGGAATGTACCTGAACAAAGTATAATAAAAAATTAAAAAAAAACCAACCAAATTCTAAAGCATTTGACAACCACCACTTATTTGCCTGCGCCAGATGCTGTGGCGGAAGAGCCAACTTCACTGAGCTCTACACTAAAGCAGCTACATGCATTAACTGGGGCTCACTGACTCCTCCACTTCAGTGCTCTCATTAAAGTGCTCTAAGTATCGCAGTACACTGTCAGTATATCTGCTGCACAAATTACCTTGTGATTAAAGGGCAATGGATGGTTGAATAGAAATAATATTAACTAGACTTAACTGTTTTATTTTTTTGCCTGGTAAATTTTTTACAGTGAAACTACAGGTGTTCTCATCATAAGGAAAAAGACCTCAAATTTCCATCTCCTGAAAGAAAAGGAACTTCTAATATAAACCATTAAACAGAGTGATGATTATAATGCCATTGAAAGAATTATTTTAAAAATAAAACAATAAAAACTAACAACCTGATATTGAGCTGGTAGTAACTATATTGCAGTTTATGATTTTATGTTTTTAAAAGCAAGAGTAGATGGGTTGACTAATATATTAAAACTACTGATTATTTCTAATAATGGAACGTTTCCTGATTAACATATTTCATTGGGATAGTAAAGGGGATGACCAAGGTGCTTGTGAATACAGAAGTCACAGCCTGCTTTAGAAGCTTATTTAAAATCGACAAGCTCGAATGAGAAAAGTAAGGGGAGATCCAAGATGGCGGTGGAGGCAGAGACAGCGTGGTAAGCTGCGGGAGCAGCGAACCACTTAAAGCAGGTCCATTATGGCCTTCCACAGACTTCGGCTTATTGATAATTGAACACTTAAACAGTTGATAACTGGCCCTCAGTGAAGATCGAGGCTCAACAACAGGAATCCAAGGATTCCCAAGGAGAAATGGGTGAGTCTCGTGGACCCCCCCCACCCCCCCCCAGAGCCCGTGCCACGCCACACAGCCGCTGCAGCTCCATGAGGCTTCCACAGCCGGATCAAATAGATTCCCTCACCAAGGATGGATGGATGGATGCTGGGCACCAGCCGTCCTCAAGACTGGTACAGTGAAGCCACCACACTGCCGCAAGGTGGACTTGTTCTGGAGAGAATTCTTGGAGGCAGGATGGTGGCTGTGGGGGAAGCGGGCGCCCTCCGGCCGCCCGCACAGGAGGGACTGCACAGCCACCGAGCGCCCGTGCGGTGGGGTGGGGGGGCACGCCCCCAACAGCCACCCGTGCTAGAGGGCCGCGCGCCTCCCGCAGGCCTCCCACACTGGTGGGGTCATGCGCCCAGCTGGCTGTCTGTGTAGGAGGTGGGGGATGGGATGCATGCCCACCATCTGCAGGTTTGGGTTTCCTTGGACAGGCCAAAGAAGACGATTACCTATGCACTGGACAGGCCAAAGAAGACGATTATCTATGCAATGGATTGCTGAAAGTCATTGAATCTGATGACCTTAACAGTGGCAGCATGCACAAGAGGACCGACATCCTAAATGCACCACATATTTTGTTCTGTTGAATGCTTCTGCCAAAAG